ATTAAAAATAATTAATAATTAATAAAAAAATTAATTTTTATTACTTATTAAATTAGAATTAACGTATAAAGTAATGTTCTTAAATTTACAATTATCTTCTTAAATATTATAATTATTTGTTTAAAAAATTATAAATTAATAAAATATTAATAAAAATTATGTAATAATAACCACCCTCGGCACGCTCTCATCGATAGGTTGGTCAGTTTTAGTGGGTTTAATGATTGATATTAATCATTGAGGTTAGGCTGAGTGGGCCTTTTGTTTTGGGTTAGTGAAGGTGAAGTCACTATTTCTAATCGTGTTCACATTTATTCACATTTGTGCCTTTTTTTTTATTGAGGTCCTGTAACTTTTGCAGTTTATTAATTCTATTGCTGATCAACAAATCAAATTTTCATAAAAGAATTCTCATGAATGTTCAAAAAAAAAAAAATTCATTAAAGAAAATCTATTTTGACCATCAAAGAAGAAAAATCATCCATTTTTTAAATTTGTGTATATTAAAAAAGAGTTTAGATCAACTTCTATGTGTAAAAAGAATAAAGAACTCTTACACATAGTTGTAAGTAATATGGTTGATGTAAACAATTGTAAAATTAAGTATTTTATTTATATAAATTATATATATTAATTTTTAATTTAATTTTAAATCAATAATAATTGATTAAAAAAATCATATTTAATAACATATATTTTTTGGTATAAAATTGTTAGGTTTCCGAAATATTAAAATAATAAAACTATAAAATAGTACATGTCAATCTCAACTTTATAAAACTTTAGTTTAAAGACAGCATCCTCTACTAAATATTAAAAAACTAACATTTAATGTTTTATTTATATAGATCACACATGTTAATTTTTAATTCGATTAAATATATTTTACTAGTTAATTGATTATACAAAAATTTACACTATTAAATATATGTTAAAAAATATAATTTTTTAATCAAATGGTTATAGATATCAACTTAATTTAAAAATTAATATTTATAATTTATATAAATAGGTCATTTAATCCAATAATTAATTTTTCAAAATATCCATTTAAGAATAATGCTTTTGAATTGGACTCTATGAAATTGGAGTCAATATGCATCGTTCTTATAAAATAATAGGAAAATGATTGAGAGAGAATATTTTTATACAACTTTTAGTTAAAATTTTATTTTGGTTCTTCTACCTTATCACAAAGCTTTTTTTTTTACTTTTTTTACTTAAAAAAACTCTTTTTTAATTTGTAAAGTTTATTATCTAATCTTTTTATAGTCTTTTTACATATATAACATGTTAGAAAAAGACCAAAAAAACTTTTTTTTGTCTTTCTACTTTAACAAAAAAAATCTCTTTTTAATTTTTTACTTTAAAATTTTTGTTATGTAATACGTTATATATGTAAAAAGATAACAAGACTAAATGAGTTTTTTGTTAAAATAGATCGAGGAAGAGTTGCACCCCTTCCATCAAATTTAATTGTTTCACTTTATTCATTCATACTTATCAAAAAATTTATTTATTATAATAATTAAAACTTATCTTTTCATTTTTACCTTAACTTATAATTAAACGAAAAACTCTAAATACATTTTCATCTCTTGTGAGATTATAATAAAATTAAAATATTAACATTTAAAGTGTTATTAAAATAAAAAATAAGACAAGTAAATCAAATCACTCTTATTTAGAAAAGAAGACAACCAAATCCAACTATGAATGTAAAAAAATTTTCTGTAAAAAAATTTTCTGCACATAATTACCCAAAATAATAAAATTAAGTTCTTTTCTTTAGTAATAATAAGATTGTGTAAGTTGATACTAATTAATTTTAAAAAATCTATAAATAAAAATACTTCAGAGCTACTTACTTAATTTGCATACACCACCATGTTAGATAAATATCCAGCTTCTCGGTATTTAGATTTTTTTTTTTTTTTGATAACACAGGATGAGTGGTGCACTTGTGGGGGAAGGATGTGAAGAAGGTTACTTAAATCTGAACCTTTGCCAACAAGTGATGAAATTTTTTACATTTAGATATTTGTTCAGCTTCTCAGTATCTAGATTTATTTTCCAGTAATTTACAGTAATGATTAAGATAACATTTTTATTTATTTAAAAAAAA